GGAACTCATTAGCATAACTCATTAGCATATGCCACACCCCCTGACATCAGGGGCCCGGCGGTGGACCTGCAAGGCCAGCGGGAGTGCGAGGAAGCTCCGCCAAGGCCCTCCCTGGCCCCAGGCAGGCAGGGGTGGGGAGAGGCGGGGAGGAAGCAACTTACCCTCCCTCTTCTCCTGCCTCCTCCTGGCTGAATGAGGGCTGGAAGCGGGGCGGCCGGAAGCAGAGGGCGGGGCTTCGTCATGTGCCCCGCCCCCTGCACCTCACCCGAGGGAACTGCGTTCCCCCACGTTCCCCCCCGAAATGACCTCTGACTATGACCAATCTGATTTTAAAAATACCCATACTATTTAAACTGTAATAATTGCTACTAACTAGGAATAACATTCCTTATTTTTAATAACAACAATTTTAACAGATTTTAACAGGCTAAATGATTGAGGATGGACAACAAAAAAGAGGGCATGTCCTCTAAAAAGGGGACATCTGGTAACCGTATTACAATTCACCCACAAATGAGCAACTGATTGCTACTTCTGACTATGTTTTGGGGATGCTGACATTAATTTTGCCTTAAATATATTTTAGATTTTCTTTAGGTTCTGTCATCAGTTAACCTAGCCACATTTCCCCATCATGTAAAGTGATCCGCTGACAAAAGTTTGAAAAGATTCATGGTGTTCATCTTACTCAGCCTGACAGTAATCTGTACAGATAGATCATTATTCCCCCAAATGATGACACCCAGCTATATCTGTTAATGGGTGGCTGTGGTTGGATGGCTAAAACAGAGCCATTTGAAGCTGAATCCACAAAAGACAGAGGTTCTCTGGCTGGGTAGGGGCATATCAGGGTCGGGGTGTCATCTCCCGTCTCTTGATGGGGCACCTTTAATACCTGTGCCAACTGCCAAGAGCCTAGGTGTGATCTTGGATACGTCCTTATCAATGGAGGTTCAAGTCACAAACATTGCCAGGCTGGAGTTTTTACAGCTGTGCCAGGCCAGGCAACTAGCCCCCTTCCTGTCTCCCTCTAACCTCGCCACAGTAATCCATGCAACGTTCACCTCCAGGCTGGATTACTGTACTCTACATTGGCCTACCCTTGAGATTGATCTGGAAGTTGTAACTGGTGCAGAACACAGTCGCCTGGGTCCTTATGGGGACCCCTTTAAGAGCACACATTCAACCAGGGTTGAGTACTGGGTCATATTCAAGGTTCTGGTATTAACCTTCAAGGCCTTGAGTGGTCTGGGGCCAGTGTACCTTCGTGACCGCCTCTCCCGATATACCTCCTGGAGAGCACTGTGCTCTGGGGAGCAAAATCTCCTAGTACTCCCTGGCCTGAGAGATATCCAGCTGTCCTCAACCAGGGCCAGGGCCTTTTCAGCCCTAACCCCAGTCTGGTGGAACTCTCTGCCTGGTAACATCCAGGGCTATTTTTGGGCAGGAACGCACAGGAACGGAGTTCCACCTGTTTCCCAATAGGCCACACCCAACAGCAGAAACTCATTAGGATTGGCTACATTAGGGGTGTGTGGCCTAACATGCAAGGGAGTTCCTGCTACAAAAAAAGGCCCTGAGTTTTGACAACAAACAAGGTAAACAGAATAACAAGCAAAAGGTGGGTGTGGCTGGATAACCACACTTCTGGTAACATGTGGATGCTAATGTGCTAATGAGCTGTGCTGTCAGGGGTGTGGCCCAATATGCTAATGAGTTCCTGCTGTTGGGTGTGGCCTATTATGCTAATGAGTTCCTGCTGGGCTTTTTCTACAAAAAGAGCCCTGGACATCCATGCCCTGCAGAACCTGGTACAGTTCCGTGGGGCCTGCAAGATGGAGATGTTCCCCCAGGCTATGGTTGAGGACAGCAATGGTTCACCATCAAGCCTGGCCTCCATCTCTCACCCTCCCCCCCATGGGGAGGGTACAAACCGACATCAGATGCTTTCAGATGAACATATTGTTGCACTGTACTGTTTTAATTGTTTTACTGAATTTGTTTAAACTGTTTTATTTATTGATACGTTGTTATATGTTGTACACAGCTCTGAGCCCTTCAGGGGAATTAATCAAAGTTCCAGATGTAGAAGCAAGAGTGTGAGGTCAAGAACAGTGGGGAAAACATTGGACCTCATTTTTAAAGTTTCTCAGGTGTTCTCCACCCCTGCAATTAAAGAAGATTCTGGTCCAATCTTCTCTTCCAAGTTAAAGCCTGCTCAACTCTGGTGATGGTAGTGTTTTTCTCTCCTACTTCAGTCAGATTAGGGACTGCCCAATGGCAAAATTACCTAAATCTCATTTGAATCTCTTTTTCTTCCTGGACCTATAGTTTTAGGATGTTAAAGCAGTGTGACTATTCAATAGCAATTTAAACTAAGAAAGACAGCATTTTAGGAGAGGATAGTTTTCCATCCTAACATTGGGGGAGATGTAGCCTGCTTCCTGCCCCCCATTTCGGCTATGAGGGACAATATGGGTTTAATTTCTAACAGAGCATGAGGATGTCCAGTTCAGCTATGAAGTGTTGTTTTTATGCCTTCAAGGCACCAGAGGAGGTGGCATGAATTATTTATAAAATCAATGATGATAAAATGATGGGGAAGGGGGTATCTTGGCACAACTTCCTGTAATGCTTCTTGCATAAACAGTTCTAATGATGCCCAAGGCAGCATCTTGAAGCTTGGCTACACAAGGCTTTAATTGATGTAGAATCCCCCCCCAAAAAAGGAATAATTACTTGGGTGATATTATGAGTGTTGTCAATTGTACATCCTTGTTCCTGCTTTGCTATTATGATGTGGCTGTTTCAGTAGCGCTAACCATGCTTCGGTTCCTGCTGGAGCGCACCGGAGCACCGCTCCGCCAGTCAGGAGCCCAGGGGGTGGGCATATAAGCCCTGCCCCCTGCTCCCACCAACCATCAGTTGGGACACGGGGAGGGGCGAAACGTTCCCCCACCTCCCTGAGCCCCGGGGTGGTGGCCTTGGACTTGTAGGGGCAAATTCCACCTCTCCTGCGAGAGGTCATTCTGGCTCCGCCAGCTGTCCTTAGGGGCTCTTTAAAAAGTTATGGCAGCCGCTGCTGTTCTCAGCAGCAGCTGCAACGCCCGCAGTGGGGGGCGAAACGTTCCCCCGCCTTCCTGAGCCCCGGGGTGGTGGCCTTGGACTCTTAGGGGCAAATTCTACCTCTCGTGTGTGACATTGCCATCACACGCGAGAGGTCATTCTGGCTCCCCCAGCTCTCGGGAGGGGCTCTTTAAAAAGTTATGGCCGCTGCTGCTGTTCTCGGTGGCAGCTGCGACGATGGGGGCGGGCGGGGCGAAACGGGAGGGACCTCAGCAGGGTATGATGCAATAGAGTCCACCCTCCAAAGCAGCCATTTTCTCCAGCAGAGCTGATCTCTGTCATTCGGAGATCAGTTATAATTCCAGATCTTCAGACCCCACCCAGAGTTTGGCAACTCTATGCAAAACCCATACATTTCAAGTTTTCAAAACTGATCAGTTAGTTTTCAATTTAGTCATCAACTGTAGGGCCACTGTGTCAAGCGGTCTTCACGTTCTCCTACAAGTATAACTGATTATTAAAATAACTACATTCAAGTTGCTGGAAAAACTGTGTGTGTGTGTGAATGAGGGAGCAAGAGAGAGAGAGAGGTTTATAGGTCAAGACCAGGCCTAAGTTCAAATCATCACTCTTTCACAAAAGTCATAGTCTCTCAGCATAACCTAACCCACCTCACTGGAATAAGGATAAAATGCTGGAGGGGGCGGGATGAAAATGTAATAAATATTACATAAAAGATTGCCTTTTGTTTTTTTTATGTCAAAACTTTTATTTTGGATATAGCAACACATTCAACATTATCTGTTGAATGTGTATAATGCAGATTGCCTTTTGGATGTGAATTATGAAATCTCCAAGCTACGTCTGATTAAGAAGAAAGCCAGTGTTTGGTAACGACTGCCGTGAAAATGAGGCAAGCGAGCCTTTTCACCTCTGTGTCCCCAAGCACACTGAATGACCTAAAAGATACTTTGCCTCTGCTGCAACTTTCTACTGAATGGTTAGTAAGTTTGTAGTGGAATAAAGAAGATGTAACTCTATAAAGTGCCTCTTTACTGAACACCACTGCTTGATATAGTGGAGTTTCTTCAGAGCATCAGGGTCTGCAGAAAAGTTCCAAACGACTTTCTCTCTTGTTTTTGGGCAACCTCAAGGGGAACCGTCCGTCACGGGACAGAATTTGACATTACATTTAATCCCACCTTCCGGGTGGCTGTGCAAATTCAAGGATCCATTAGAAACACAGGGAAAACTGGATTTTGCATATATTTAAATAATCGAAATGGGGGGGGGGGAATGTTCCCCCTCCCCGGCAAAAATATTAACGATACTCAACACGGCATTTCGGGGGTCGACTGGAAAGACCCGGCCGCTGAGATTAGCCCCCGCCCGCCGCCTTCCCTTCTCTGAGTACTGCAGTCCCAAAAAGGGAGCATGTCCAAAACAGGAGATCTCCCCTTCTGCTGACAGCCGTCCTGGGCGGTTTCCAGCGGCGATCGGCGCCTTTTTCCCCTGGCTACCCCACCCCCCTTTAAGGAACTTTCCCAGCCAGCGCAAGCGGTAGTTCTGCCGAAGCGGAGCCAGCGCGGCCCGCTTCCTCCCCTGCCCAGCGCCCCCTGGGGGCTTGGGTGTGGAGAGGTGATCGCCCACTCCCCTTTCTGATCTCCTGGCCGGATAAGACGGAGGCCCCCTCCCCGCCCTCCTCGGCCAGCAGCCGCGCCAGCCCAGCCCCCCTGCCGCCAGCCCGCCCCTCCTCCAGCCCCCTTTGCCTTGTTCAGGGCCGAGCGAAGATCACGGCGGCAGGAGGCGAAAGGAGAGGCTGGGGAAAGGAGCCGCGCACACGCCTCTCTCTGCCCGAGCCAGCCTGCCCGCCCGCCCGCTGCCTGCCTGCCTGCCTGCCGCCTTCCCCCTCCTTCCTTCCCCGGGGGCGGCTGCAGAAGTAGCAGCTGCACCAGGGAGCTTTGCCAAAGACCTGCCAGAGTTAGGCAAGGAGCTGGGGCCGAAGATCACAACAGAGCGGCGCCTCCGCGAAGGAAGGGACAGAAAGAGAACCAAACAGACAGGAGACGCGGCACAAGAGATCCGGACAGGGACTCGGCAGTTGCTGAAGGTGGTCCCTCCGCTCCCAAAGGTTGGCTAGAGAGTCCCCCTCCACTCACAGCATAGATGCACGCCCTGAATCAGCGGAGTCGTGTTGCAGCCGAATAAAAGCTTTAGGGTCCTAGGAAAGGGACTGAAGGCACCTCTTCACTCCTTCCCACTGGAAGGAAGCATCAGGCGTGTGCATGTGCGCGGGCGCACGAGACCACTCTCGACTATTGGTGCATTTCCCCGCATAATTCAACTTAAACAGAAAAGCATCCCTTCTCTAAAGACTGGGGAACTTTTGATTGTTTTCTGGTGCGGGGAGCGAAAGGGGGGAGGGGGTGGAGCGCAGCTCCCTAGGAAATCCTCCTTGAGTGCTAAGGAGCCATCCTGAAAAAATAAGCACACTCATCATAATACAAGGATACATCTGGACTCTGTTTGCGTTTCCTGGCTTTCCTGGGGACGAAGATGCTGTCCTACGGCGTGCTGGATGCAAATGTGGTAGACGTGGAAAAAAGGCGAAATCCCTCCAAGCACTATGTGAGTACGGTGGTCAGGGGCTGTCCATTTGTGCAAATGCTGCCTGTCCTGGCAGTGGGTATCAATGTTCCCTCTAAGCTGTGGAGTCTTGTGAGCAAAAATTCTACTTTGTGAGCTATTGGGATTAAAGTTGTGAGCAAGCCATTTGGCTACTGCATAAATTAGTTTGCTCTGGAGCCATCCCTGAGCTAAGACAAAAATGTGTGAGCCAGAGGCTAAAAAACTGTGAGCTAGCTCACACTCTCAGAGGGAACACTGGTGGGTATCATCCTAGGCGCGTTTTACCGGGGAGCTCTGGGATTTATGACTTCCAAGTGTGTGAGAAATGACTTGGAAAGGGAGGCAGGTGGGATAGGGTTTCTGGAAGGTGTACTGTACTCTGCCCCCCCCCCAACACCTTTATGGCCAGGCAAAAAGGTCAGCGGGGAAGGGCTTTATGCAAGCATGCTGACTCCATGGAGTCACCTCTCTAGTATACAGTTCTGAATAACAGAATATGTGCTCTGGACAGTTTAAATTCATCTGGGGTGAATGTCCAGTGAGGACAAGACACTTTCCTAGGTTCTCCTAAAAGCACAAAAGCTGAGTGTTAAACATAGCAAGCAGTTGTTCATGTAGAAAGCTGTTGTTGAATAATGTTTCCCCTCTAGCACAATACATCTTACTTGTTTCTACTCTGCATTGATAGCGTGCTAGGATTTGGGTGACATGTGTGGTGTGGGAGGTTGGACTAGATGATCTTCAGGTACACTCTCACTCTTGAGTTTACAATGGCAGTTATCAATTTGTTCCTGCATAAGAATATTTTCCCGATCATCATTTGCCTTTTGCATCAGTCAGGACATGATGCGTATGAGGCATATCTTGTTTTATTTGAACCATCTGGGTTTGTTTGACCAATGTATTCTTTTGGCCTGCAGGCACATCTGGCATGTATGCAAGCAGGCTCCTTCTGTTCTCCTCTCATTGCACTGTGCGATGTGTATTTGTCTTTGCTCCTCCAGAATTCAGTAGAACCTTTCTTGAGCAACCACTTGAGCCTTACAAATCAAGCATCTCCTCCTGTAGGACACTGGGATATTTATTTAAGGACCTTAGATGGCTTGGTTGCTTTGTGTACCTCTGGTTGGTAGTTGACTTGCTCATCAATGATTCTGCACAGTGACCGTACATGAACCTTCAGTTCTTCTCTTTAGCTGAGCCAGCTCAGCCAATGTGCAATGCTTGCCGGGCTCCTGTGGGGAGCAGGCCAGGACACCAGCACTGACATGACAGGAACACAGATCACTGTGGACCCAGTGAGGGATGAGAATGTAATTGGTATTACTGATTGATTGGTTTAGTGCTCTAGTTCGCCAAGGCAGCTAACAATAAAACCAAACATTTACCATCACAAATCCACTTTGAAACAAAAATTATTTGAAGCGTTTACCAGTTAAAACATCAGATACACTAAACGAGAGGCACCAGCCTCATCAATCAGTTCAATGTTTAGGTATTCCAGAATAGAAAGGGCTGTAAATTACCATGAAAGGTCTGTAAAGACGGTGCCACTGTCATTTCCAGGGGGAGGGGTGAGTTTGGTGGCAGCGGTTGAAAGCTCCCAGCCAGCCTCACTTCAGATATCATGGATTCTTGCAAGAGGGTACCACTGTTGGCATGACAGTGATGTACCAAAGTCAGTGAAAGTGAATCTCCTATGTCATACCAACAATTATGCCTTCTTGCAGGAAGGTAATTCAGATGCTCACAACGAATGCATTATTTCTCATTAAAACTGTGCTTGATCCCAAGAGAGGAGAGAGATGGCCAGTTTGGAATCAGATCTCGAAGCCACCTGGCACTAGATAAGGAATGGATATTTTGCTAAAATCCTCATCATGTTCTTCTGGCTAAGAGAGCAATGTGGATGAACTATTTTGCTGCAGCTCTGCATTGTTTGGTCAGTACTCTGCTCCTGCCTGCTCACGGGGCACTCAGCTGTAGGAACTGGGCACTGAGAACAGCCCTCCCCTTCAACCATTCCCAGGCAGGTCGTTGGGAATTGGGTTAATTCTATAAGTTTCAGCCTTGTATCTTGTCATACTTTAAGCTCAACTGAACTGAAATCGTCAAGGAGGTCTAGTCAGAATCCTATTCATGTCTATTCAGCAGGGGCTACTTCTAGGAAAACAGCCTTAGGATTGCACTTATATAATACTCAAGAGAGCCTTTGAGATGGGTGAAATAGGAGCAGAGACATTTGTACCAGTCCTGATCATCGCCAGTGCCAGCCCACAGACTTGGCATCTCATGCATGGACTGGAGTGCAGAACTGTCTTTCCCACATCTCCGGTTTGCTTCTTGTACATTTACCTTTCAAATATGTTGGTTTCCGCAGATTTGGTTTGCTAAATTAACCGGGCCAATGTGTGAACTTGATCTTGTACTTACATACTGTTGCCAGTGAAACATGAGGAAGGCAGGTTTCTAAATGCTCCCAAGAGTTCCAGAGTCACAGGATAGCTATCATAACTCTGCTCTGAGGGTTAAACCTGAAAAGCAACCCATAATACTGTAATTTTTTGTCTAAAGAAGTTATGAAACAAAATGTAACCTCAACCTTAGACAGCAGAAATATTGAAGTAAATGACAAAGAACAGAGGGCTTCAGTAATCTACCATACAGTCATTTATTTATTTGATAGAGCATTACATTAGTACATTGCAGGTGATTTTTCTTCTATGTGGGCTACAGGGAGATTCAAACAGACTTGCTGCACCAAATAATTTGATGGTGCAATCCTGTATACTTCAGTCTAAGCTAAAGGGGATCAGATGGAAGTAACTCTGCGTAGGAGTGGACCAAGCCCTGAATATATTGCTGTATATACAAATGCTGAGCTGTACAGAGTGTATGAACCATTGCCCAACTAGGGCCCCTGCCACACGGGGGGGAAAAGCATGGCCAAAGTACGGCTTTTTAGAGCCGCACCAAAAAAGATACGCGGTGGCGGGATCAGGCAGATCCCCCGTAGCGGCGACACGTTTGCTCCCCGACACGATCAGATGCCGGGGGGAAGCCACGGAAGGGAGAGCGAGGCAGCCGGCTGCACATGTGTGCGCATGTGCAGTTCGGCCGGGAGCCTCGATTGCTCCTGAAGATGGGCATGCCGGCGATCTCATGGCCGCGCTTGCTGCGCCATTTCAGGTAGGTCCTACCATTTTTTAGGTTCTTTTTAATGCACATTTTCAGCCTGAAGGGCCGGATCAGGGACAGGTGCGCGCCACTTCCCAGATGTTGCGGTGTGATCGCACCCGTTTGCTGTGCCCACGATCCGTCCCTCTTCCGGGCCTAAACCTCCCATGTGACCGGGACCTAGGATGGAGTGAGAGCTATAAAGCATTTGGCTTTAATCCAGAAACTGTATGATGTTCAACATTCATTAGCCCAGAAAAAAGATGAAGGTTTCTTCTATGGCTCTTAGATGCTAACTAGATGAATAACAGGGCAATCCTAAAAACATTTTCCTGGGAGTAAGCCCCATTGAGTACAGTTGAGTAGGATTCTCAGCAGACCTGCTTAAGACTGCATGGTTATTTTTGCTCTGTTCTTTTATGCACTAAAACCAAAAGTGACATGTATTTGAAAATTCTTAAGGCTGAGTGGGCCTGATATCAGTCAAATCTTTAATGTTCTATGCAAACTTTAATTTTCTTCTTGTAAAGTGAGCAAACTATTGCTGATTATACTAGTAATCTGTGGGGGGAGAGTCTGTTTTTTTTCCAAGGACTGGGTGAAAAAGATCAGAACTCTTTGGGGACAACAGAATTCTGGAGCAGAGAAACTATGGGAATTCGACCCATCTGTTATATTAATTGGCTGTAACCATGGGAACTAGAAGCTTGTTGCCTTAGCTAAATGAAAGCTGCTCATCTCAAAGTTCTGTGGAAAGATTCTGATTTAGTGGTCATGCAGATTCCTTAGGATTCTTGCTGATAATATAGTGGCCCTGTGATGCTAGCATGTTGAAAACCGTTTCATGCTTCAACATCAATCAATGTACACTGTCACAACATAATTCAGGTTTCTGATCCTCCTCTTCCCATTCAAGCTCCCTGAAGGGTGCCATTTGATTTCCCAGACTCCTACCAGGTTGATCTGTCAAGCCTACATTGACTGCCTGGGCTCCTTCTGGAGTGCTTTCATGTGCAGCATTTTAATGTGATCTTCAAAATTCACACTGAGAAGGAGTGATCAAAACCCATCCACAGCCTCAGGCCAAATACATTTTCTTGTATGTCTTTCCCCCAGTTCTGTACATTAGCACCGGCTAAGTGAATCCAGCTGTCATTGTGATATGATTCCCTTCAGGCCTTTTTCATGTGCTTTGTTCAATCTGGTTTTAAATGTCTCACTGCTTCAATGTGCAAGACTCGATTTTGCCTGTGCGGGGTTGGTGGTAGTGGGGGACAGCATTCTGTAGCAGTTTTTCTACCCAAGGTCAACATTGCAATGGGGTTATTTTCAGCATGGTGACTGCTAGCTCTTATCTCTCACTTTCTCTCAGATGTTTGAAGAATGGGGGGAGGAGGAGAATGCATATAGAGAGCAGCATGCTCAAATATTTGTGAGTGTGATTCAACAACACCCACACAAATATAGGCATATGCTGAGTTCCATGGTTCCAGGAGATACAGGAGACATCTCTGATCAGAACACACCCAAGTGTACATATCGACACTTGTTCCAGTTCATCCTTCGCCTCTCCCATCTCTCTCTCTTTTCTCTCTCCACTGTCAAAGTTTAGATTACAGTCTCTTTGGGGCAAGTTTTGTTTTAAAGAAAATTATGCTGCTAAGTGCCACGTACATCTATAGTGCTGTATAAATAAATAAAGTACTTCTGAAAAACAGGGCCTGAAGTAATGGATAGACTGGAAACAAAATTGTATGGACCTTTTCTTTTTTTTTTGGTAAACCCATGTAAACAGTTACCCTTGCCATGTATGTGTTATCAGG